TTCTTTTATCTATTTTCGAATGCTGCTTTAGCGGATTTGGTATGAGTATGAACCAAAGTCTAATGATACCGGTGATTTGCTGCTGAAGTAAATTGATAAAGATTATATATTGCTTGAGTAACTTTAACTGGATGCCCTTTGGAGAGTGACAAGAATTTTTTAATCATTTCAATGAGTTGGTTTGTGTTATATTCTTGGATTAAATTTTTGGCTCCTGTAAAATTACCACTTGCAAAACTTGTACTGAAACATTTAAAGTCCAATTCTTTTTGTAATGATATGGTGATTCCATTCAATGCATGTTTAGTTGATTCATATGCAGAATATTTACCGCCAAGGGTAGAGTATCCAAGGTAAGATTATATGTTTAAATTTAAACCAGAAAGTTGTGCTTTGAGATATGGAATTGTGTGTCTTAATTCATTGTATACACCAAATAAATTGATTGCATAATCTTTTGAATATCTTCTGCTGATAACTCTTCAACACCCCCAAATAAACCATATACACTGTTATTTACAACTACATCAATTCTACCATGTTTTTGAATTGTTTTATTTACACTTCTTTTTGTTGTGAAAAAAAAACTTACAAAGAAAAATAAAAAACTACATCACTATTAGGTGATAAAGCTTGTGTTCTATTTTGGAAATAAGCGCATTCTGAGTTAACTGTTTCTAAAATAAATAATAATAATGATATAATAACTTTCATTTTTTTTTATTATTGATATTGAAAAAAAATTTTAGAATTCTAAATTTATAAAAAAAAATAAAAAAAAAAAAAATATTTTAAAAAAAAATTTATAAAAAACTTAAATCCCAAACACTTTTTACATACAATTTACTAACCTATGTAAAAGTAAATATCTTAAAAAAAATAAAAAAAATAATCATTTAAATTTTGATTTATTATGAGAGTGGAAATTATAATTTTTTTGTTTTAATGATTAACCAAACATGTATTTTTGGCTTTTTTATTAATATACTTTTAAATTTTTTTAGTTATTTAAGTTATTAAAATTCTGGTTATTTAATTTTATGTTATTTGTAATTCATCGATAAGGTTCTGTAGCTTTCCCATATATAAATAAAATATATTTATTAAAAAAAGATTAAATATTTATAACATATTTGTTTATTTTATTTTTAATTTTTTTTATATTTAACCTATCTATTTTTGGAACTATGCTATCATCCAAGATATTATTTTACCCAATACAATCCGTTTTAACCTTTATATGAATATATTTTATAAAATTTATTTTATATTATAATATATAATAATAATATTATATAAATATTTTATTTCTTTTTTTTTTAATAAACCATAAAATTGTAGAGTTCGAAAATTATCGTTTCCGTTTATCTTTTTTAAATAACCCTGAAGAAATTATCCAAAAATGACTATTTTTTTCGAAAAAAATTAAAAATAGATAAAAGTGGATAATAAAAAAATTAAAAAAAGATATAATAATTTATAAAAAAAAAAAAATAGAATTGTTATAAAAAAATTCAAAAAACCTAATGTTGATGCAATCTAGTTATTTTGGGTCTATTTTATATTTATATTTATAATTTACTATTATAAAAAAAAATAATAGTAAAAAATAATTCTATGGTGATAACAAAAAAATAAAAACAACTTTTAGAATTATTACATTTTTTTTAAATAAAAATATGATCTATATTTTTTTTTTTTTTAAAATATTATATTGTCATTTTATTATTGAAGAGGTGTGAGTAAAAGACTCTTATTAATATGGTTTTGTGAAGATTTTTGAAAGGAAAATAAAAAAAATATAATAAACAATATAATTTAAAAATAAAAAAAATTTAAAAATCTAAATTCAAAAAAAAAGCTCCCATATTAATTACAAAAAAATTAAAAAAAATAAAAAAAAAAGGGTGAAAAAGAAACAAATTATGATTTGCGTATTTGAACTGTTATTTTGGATCTATGGCAAATTTTAAAAGTGGATAAAAATGAATAATTTTTTTTAAAAAAAAAATAAATTAAATAAATTTAAAGAGATAATATTTTTTTTAAAAAATGGATAATGAACACGATAACGATAATCGGTAAAAATGGAGATAACGATAATTTTAGAACTTTATAAAATTGTAATGTTTAACAGGTTCAGAATCATCAATGGTAAAATAGGCGACAGCGAATGAACCTGAAATGGTTGAATTTATAAAAAAATCTTTTAAATAAATTAACTTTAATTAAATTTTATATTCTTTATAATACTTGTAAATGGAAAAAATGCTTAAGATTGTTTGAGTGGTAAATATATAAAGTTTTTTTTAAATATAGTTTCTTTAAAAAAAAAACTTTTTATTATTTTTATATTTATTGTAATATTTTAATCATTTAAAATTGTTGTTAAATAAGACAAATCATTTTGATAGTTCCAAAAATTATCCCAGAATCCAAGAGCATAAGCACCAGCAACGCCTTGATAGGGGAATTGTTTACCCAAAACTATATAGTCTGGCATTGGGAAAGATGACTTTGTTGGGAAATACTGAACAGCATTTGAGAAACCATATTGATCGGAACCTTCAATTACAGTAACCATACAACCAACCCTAAGAGTTGAATTACATGATGCTAAAAATAATACACCCAAACCCTCTTGATTAAATTCAATATTGTTTAAAGTGAAAGAGATGTTGTTTGAATTACCACCAAACTGAATTGGTAGATATTTAATTGATTGCACTGCTTTGTTTGTATTTGATCCACCCATGAAGATAACATTATAGGTTTCAAAAAGATTTGAATTAAAATCGGTATCTGGAATAACAGAAACAGCATATCTTAATTGGTAAAACCATACATTAGATAAATAAACACCTAGCTGTTGTCTTTGAAAGGTTTGTTGTTCGCTACCAATTGTACCATAAACAATAATTATTGGATATTCGACTATTTGAACCATTGGACCATAATTAAATGGGTTTCTTTCACTGTATTGCCAATTTTCATCGTTACAAACTGACCATTGGTTATTATTATTTAAGTTACAGTAATGGGATGGATATTGGAAATATGGCAATGTTTGAGTTGATTTACCATTTACAATTGTAATTTTAGTTGGTTGTTCATTAAATTGATAGAATGAGAATCTTCTAACATTTTCTATTGCTAAATTCCATGACCCATTTGACTGTTTGGTGACTTTAATTTTTGCAACTTTATAGTTTTGAGTTAATTGTAATATTTTAATACCTCCTTTGCCTTGGAATGAGGCTGGATTGATACATGTTACTAAAAATGTTGTTGGTAACTTTGGAATTCCACTTAAGATATAACGATTGAAGAATGCCTGCATAGTAGCATCATCAACAACACCATTAAACCAATGACCCTCACCTGGGATTTCGCTTACAATACCTTTTGTTGGATTATGATTAAGTTGATTATAGAGTCTATTTAAACGTCTTAAATGATATGGTGGTACATTATCATCATCACTACCCATTCTTACAATTAATGGAATATTGATTAGATGTGGTGAATGGAAGTCAGAGTCATTCTCGCTAACCACGGCATCAAAAATATAACGGAGCTTTGGATGTGACAATGAGTAACCCAATCTTAAAAAGTTTGGGGTATATAGTTTCATATCGATCCAACCTGCTGCAACACTAAGTGAAATTGTACGATCTGGGAAAATTGTAGTAACAAAGTGTTCTGCTCCATGCCCACCCATTGAATGACCTGCTATTTGTAATCTATAAACATCGCATTGATAATTTTGTTTGTCTTGAACCCCTGGTAAAGAACCACATAAGTATTCTAAAGCATATATTGCATTTTTAACACCACCACTTTCCCAATCAAAGCCATAGTTTGCACGATTTGTTGGGAATAAAGTCCAAGAATAGTTTTGTCTCTGATATGCACCAGTCCATGCTTGTGATTTAGCATCCACACCAGCACCATGAAAAGTTAATAAAACAGGGCATGTATTGTCGCTATCAATTAGACCATTATTGGGACTGAAAGTTTTAGAACATGGAGACAATGGAGGAGTTGCAGCGGCGTATTGTACAGATTGATCATAGTCTAAAAATGTGAATGTGAATGGTTCACCAAATGATTTACATGAGAAATTAAGGGTGATCGGATTTGCATGATTAATTGAAAGCTCTGAACTAATATAAACCATAAATGCATATGTTGTACCTGCAGGACAGTTAACTTCACCTGATTGGTTGGATACTTTTAACATAAAATTAATTGGTGTAACTTGACCAGGTTGGAGTGATGGTGATTGATTCCCATTTGAAAGAGATGATTGGGGTGTAAAAATTTGTAAATCAACTAAATCCGACGCTACTTGAATTGAAACGTCGTTAATGGTTTGGTTCAAAACATTTAATACTGATATTGAAATAAAAGGTGATGCAAATTGATTATCAACAATATCTGGAACAATTGTATTTTCATAGATTACCCAAAATGAATTTGTATTTTCTGGTGAATTTACAATAATGGTATTTACAATACACCCAAAACCAGCCTGTTCAGAACCTATTACTCTTACACGCACAGTATGTTTACCCTTGTTTAATGTGATGGCATTATAAGTGAGGCCCAATTGGTATGAATCCCCTTGCATTATTATATCATCTACAAAAAACTTTGAAACCCCAACACAAGTAACCACATAATTTTCATTATCACCTTCGACATCAAAATCGGATAAAGCCCAACCACTAAAATAACTGCCACTAGATCCAGCCCATGACTCTATTAAATCCCAGTTAACATTTGTAAAATTTACTGTAACATAATCATTTGTAGTAATTTTGGTCCATCCAACTCTAATGGGAAAAAATTTAGAAATTAGTAAATATTTATAAAACATGTATAATATAATATAAAATTATTAATATTAATAATTACTCTCCACCAAATACTAAATCGCTTGGATAAGTTGAGTTATCAGCTCTTGGTATACCAGTAATTCCACCATAAGCAGCTAAAACATCCACATCTTCTCTTGGTGCACTTGGAAATGGTGCTAGTACATCCCAATCTGTTAAAAAAAATGAATCCTTGATTAATGGTTCATTTTCTTCATTATTAAAATATTTATCTAATTTCGAATAAGCACTATCCAAATTTATGATTAATATTAATAAAAATATGATTTTAAAAAAACTATAATTATTGTACATTATTATTTCTATGTTCTCAAATATTTGTTATTCATTTAAATGAATAATTTTAATTTTGTGTTATAATTAATACCACCACAAAAAAAAAAAATAAAAAATAAAAAAAATAAAAAAACCCAAAAAAAAAAAAATTTGGAAATTAAATTAAAAATAAATTAAAAAAAAAAAACAATTTAAACCAAAATGGAAATTAATTTGATTAAAAATTAAATAATGAATTTTATTATTTATTTATTTTGTCTTGATGCTTTAAATCTTGATTGTTTTGCTGGAGCAACTGAAGGTGCAGGTGGTTTAATTGGATCATCAATTGGGAATAAATCTGTATCTTTTTCTATAATATCACCAGAGAATGCTGTATCTTGAGGTGGATTTGGTGTAGTAATAGTTTTATTTGTTTTAAATAATTCTTGCTTTTCTAAATTTTTAATATACTATAAAAATGAAGAAAATTATTAATATTATTATTGATATTATTGACTATAAATAAAAAAAAAATACATACCCTTCTTGGATCATTTTCATCATTTTCATCGTATGTAAATACTTTATTACTATTGTTTTTGCTATTATTGGAATTGTTATTAATACTTGTTTTTAAAATTGATTTTGGTTTAAACTTATCAGTTGGTTCTAATGGTGGTGTTGGTGGTTGTGGTGTGTCAATATATGAAATTCTCTTTTTCTTTTTTTCGTTATAATACTCTTTTAATTCTTTAACTTCTTTTTCTGTTAAATCGTGACCTGTTTTATCAAAGTGGAAATCCCTCATTTCTTCTAAATCGTTGTCATTAAAGTCAACTTCCTCTTCAATATCACCATCTTCCTCTTCTTCCTCAATATATTCTACATTTGGATCATTTATATCTACTAAGTTTCCATTTTCGTCATAATATTCGTATCCTTCTTCTTCGTTATAATATTCACCTTCGATATAATCCCCCTCTTTGTTTCTATTTCCTTTATTTCTTCCGCCTTCGTTATCTTCATTATCTTCATACTCTTCGATTTCAACTTCGTCTTCATCATCATTGTTATTGTTGTCGCCATAGTACTTGTAACCCTCTTCGTCATCTTCATTGTCATCTTGATCCAAATTTACACCTTTAGAGAATTTTTTATTGAAATCTTCTTCATCATAATCTTCGCCCATGTTGTTTTCTTTGGTTTCTAATAACTCTAATCTCTTTAACATTTTATCAAAATCGCTATCACTTTCTTGTTTCTTTTGTTTATCTTTTGCAATTGATTCTTTGGTTGGTGCTTTTGATGCTTTTTCTTTTTGCTCCCTTTCAATTTGCTTTTGTTTTTCAACGATTTTTTCTTCCCTCTTCTTTTCCAACTCTCTTTCTTCATCTGAATCATAATCTTCTTTAATCTCAATGATATTTTCATATTCTTTTTCAAGAACTGATTTTGCTAAATCTGATGAAAGTGTCGCTCTTTGTTTTAATGCTAAAATTTGTTCATTTAAATCTTTAATATTATTATTAATATCTAAAAATAAAAATATAATTAGTATAATTTTAAAGCTACAGTTTTTAATGTCACAATTTATAATTACCGGTATCTCTTCTTTGAATAATATCTATAGTTTGTTTAGTGGATCTTTTTGCAAAATAATTATCACCTAATAATATTAAAATTTCATTGGTACTCTTAATATTTCCTTCAAAAAATGCTAATTTGCCAAGTGGTACCATAATTTTAGGTTGTAATGTATTTGGTAATTCTGAAAGAGTATTAATCAATTCTCTATATTCATTTTTTGTACCCTGTAAACTTTTGATATGTTCCTCATATTCAAAAATTTTCTAAATAAAAAAAAACAACTCGTCAGTATTATATATCATATAATTAATTGGTATTTTCTAATATTATCATACCTCTTCATATCTTCTTTGAAGCTCTTGATTCATTTTAGATTAATTAATTATATACAATGATTATTGAAAAAAAAAAAAAAAAAATGAAAACGAATTTTTTTTTTTTTTAAATTTTTTTTTTTTTTATTATTTTTTTTTTTATAAAAAAATTAATTAAAATATTTTTTTAAAATTTTTCATTTTCATTTCCAATTTTAATTTTCATTTTTTAAAATCGATTGTTTATATACACACACACACACATTTAATATAAAATAATGCAAGCAACAACAGTAGCAGCAAGATATAGTGGCCTTCAAAAAGAAGTTTTATCTCTTTATAGGAAATTTATAAGGGCATCACAAAATAAAGATAAAATAAATAATGTATCCCCTAATAATAGTTCACAATCCATTACAAATTATATTAGAAATCAATTTAGATTAAAAGCAGGTCAAGTTTCAAGAAGAGAAATAAATAAAATAGAATTACTTTTATTAAAAGGAAGAAGACAATTAGAACAGGTTCAAGACCCACATTATTCAGGTTTTCAATTATCTTCATTTTCACCAAAATTAAAATAATTATAATATAAAATTACACTTCAAAAATATTTTAATAAACAATACAATCACATCAATGTTATATAATGTATATAATAGAATAAAAACAAAAATACACCTTCGTTAAATCATATTCCTAAATTGTAATAACATATAGTCAATGAAATTTGATCAAATTTAATTAATCATAGTAATAATAATAAAAATAAAATAATCATTACAGTTTTCAAATTACTAAATAAAAACCAAATTAAATTATCATAATAATTTAAATTAGTCAATTATTATTTCTTCTATTCCATTCTTGTCTCTTTCATTTAATTTTCATTTTTTTCAAAAAATTAAAAAAATAAAAAAAATAAAAAAAAATTAAAATAAAATAAAATTTTATATATTATAATAAACACCACTTTATTTGTAAAAAATTGAAATAATTAAAAAAAATTACTTTATGTGTGTGATAGGTGTGTGGGTAAGATAATATATTGTGCATACAAAAAATAATAGTAAGTAAGTCTTGCCTATCAATTTTAATTTAAATTTCTATTTTTTTATTATATTTTATGTAAAATTATTAAATTATTTTAAAATTAATAGTTTATAATATTTTTATAAATTATAATTTATAATAATAATAAAATAAAAAACTTGATAAATAGTTTTTTTTTTTTTTTTTTTTAATAATAAACAATAACAATAACAATAATAAATATTTATTTACATATATAGTATCACAATAATTATTATTATTTTTTACTAATTTTTTTATTATTTTTAAATAAAAAAATGAATAATAATAATAATTATGGTTATAGTCAATTACAATCATTTTCAATAGAAAATGATATAACAAAAGATGAATTAAGTGATTATTTATCAAATGACAATTTACAAGGAATTAAAGATAAATACAGAGATATAGGGAATTTAGCAAGTAGGCTTGGATCAAATATTGAAAGTGGTCTCACTTCAAATGAAGCATCATCAAATGAAAGGATAGAAAGATTTGGTGTAAATAAAATGAATGAAATTGCACAAAAATCATTGTTTTTCTTTATATGGCAAGCTATTCACGATAAAACATTAATAATATTAATTATATCGGCTGTGGTTTCAATAGTATTGGGTCTAACAGTAGAAGATAGAAAAACTGGTTGGATAGATGGTACTGCTATATTAGTCGCTGTAGTAATTGTAGTGTTGGTAACTGCTGGTAATGATTATAACAAAGAAAAAAAATTTAGAAAATTAAACTCCATTCGTAACGAAAGAAAGGTGTCTGTAATAAGAGGTGGCCACTTATGTAGTATTTCAATTTATGATATTGTAGTCGGTGATGTTGTCAAATTAGAAACTGGTGATACAATTCCTGCTGATGGTATTTACATTGGTGGTCAAAACTGTTCGGTAGATGAAAGCTCTATGACTGGCGAATCAGATCAAAAGAGAAAATCAAATGAAGAGCCATTCTTTTTATCTGGTTGTCAAGTATTGGAAGGTTCTGCTTCGATGTTGGTATTGGCTGTGGGTGAAAATTCACAATGGGGTAAATTAAGATTACTCTTACAATCTCCAAATTCTGATACTCCATTAACTCAAAAGCTCGAAAAATTGGCCGAAACCATCGGTAAATTTGGTTTAATTGCTGCTATTTTAACATTTGCCGTATTGTTATTAAAGTTTATAATTGTATTTGTAAAAAGTAATGAAACTTGGCATTGGAGTCAATTAGGAACCATTGTTGGATTTGTTGTTACTTCAATTACAATTATTGTAGTAGCAGTACCAGAGGTATGTAACATAAAACATAAAATATAAATTTTTATAATTTTAAATTTTATATTAATAATTTAAATTTTTAAATTTAGGGTTTACCATTAGCAGTTACAATTTCATTAGCATACAGTATGATGAAAATGATGAAAGATCAAAATTTAGTACGTCATTTGGAAGCATGTGAAACTATGGGTGGTGCTACAAATATTTGCTCAGATAAAACTGGAACCTTAACTCAAAACAGAATGACAGTTGTAAAGAAATTTATTGGTAAATATATTGAACCAGAGGATTTAAAGAAAGGAAAATATGATGAACAGTCATCATCCTCAATTCATTCATTCTCATCACCTCAAGAAATGAATAGATATGGTCACCAATCAGGTACAGCCAGTGATATGGAAATGTTAACAAACCCAGATATATCAAATTTATTGGCAGAGTCTATAAGCTTAAATTCTACAGCATTTATAGAAAAGCATAGTGACCGTTTAAATGATCATATTGGTAGTAAAACTGAATGTGCTTTATTAGAATGGTTAGAAACCCTACCAAACCAATCATACGAAAATATTAGACATTCAAATAAATCAAGAATTGTCAAAGCATATCCCTTCTCATCTGAAAATAAAATGTCAGCAGTTATGTTGAAATCAAACAAAACAAATGGTGGCTATATAGTCTATGTTAAAGGTGCTGCTGAAATAGTACTTGGTAATTGTTCCAATATTATTGATAAGGACGCTCAATCTGTACCAATATCCAGAGACGAAAAGATGCTCTTACAAAAAGATATAGAATTATTTGCAAGTGATGGATTACGTACATTAGTTTTGGCTTATAAAGAAATGAAAGAAGATCCTTCTCAATCATCCCCTGAAAACGAAAAATTAATGGTTTATTCAAAACTCACATTCTTATGCTTAGTTGGTATTAAAGATCCCGTTAGAAAAGAGGTACCAAAAGCTGTAAAAAGATGCCAAAGTGCTGGTATTATGGTTAGAATGTTAACTGGTGACAATATTTTAACTGCTAAAAATATTGCTAGGGAATGTGGTATATTAAAAGAAGGTGGTGTAGCTATGGAGGGCCCAGAATTCCGTAAACTAACCGATGATCAATTGGATACAATCATACCACATCTTCAAGTTATTGCTAGATGCTCACCAACTGATAAATATAGATTGGTCCATAGATTAAGAGAACGTGGTGAAGTAGTTGCTGTAACTGGCGATGGTGTCAATGATGCACCACAACTTAAAGAAGCCGATGTTGGTTTTTCAATGGGTATTGCAGGTACAGAGGTAGCAAAAGAAGCATCAGATATTGTATTATTGGATGATAATTTCAACTCTATTAGTAAAGCAGTAATTTGGGGACGTAATGTATACGATTCTATTAGGAAATTCATCCAATTCCAATTGACAGTAAATATAGTTGCTGTATTAATTGCGTTTGTTGGTGCAATAACAAATGGTGAAAGTCCACTTCGTCCAGTACAACTATTATGGGTTAATTTAATTATGGATACTTTGGGTGCATTAGCATTATCAACCGAACCACCAACCGATGAACTTTTCCAACGTCGTCCATATGGCAGATTCGATTCATTAATTACACGTCGAATGTGGAGAAATATTCTAGGCCAATCAATTTATCAACTTTGTTTCCTCTTTTCGATTATGTACAGCGCAAGCTCAATGGTTAGACTTTTCGATTTACCACCAGTCGCACAATGGACCCCCAACGATAAAATGGTGTATCATACAATCATTTTTAATACTTTTGTATTTTGCCAATTCTTTAACGAAATCAATTGTAGAGTTTTAAACAATGAACTCAATGTATTTAGAGGTATTCATAAAAGTTTTATTTTCATTTTAGTGGTACTTGGTTGCATATTTGTTCAAGTTATTTTAGTCGAATTTGGTGGCGAATTCTTTGGTACAAGACATTTAGATGCTAAACAATGGTTATTCTGTTGCTCTATTGGTTTTGGAGGATTAATTTGGGGCTTCTGTTTAAGACTATTACCAATACCAAATAAAGAAAATGTTGTACGTCAACCAAAACAATTAGACCTCAAAGGACTTGGTAATATCAATGTTGATATTGAAAGTCAACCATTATTAGGTCCAAAATCAAAATGGAGAAAAGCAAGAAATGTATTCCAACAAATTAATGTTATTTCAGCTTTTAGAAATCAACCAAGACTTAAAAGAACAAAAGAATTATTCCGTACCAAATCATCAGATTCAACTCCAATATCAAGAATTAATAGAAACTATAGTGGCAGTGGTTTACAATAATCATTTATATCAAAAAAAAAAAAAAAAAAAAAAAAAAAAAAAAAAAATTTTATTATATTAATAAAAAACTCTATTTTTTCACTTATTCTTCAAAAGATTCTTTGGAATATGCCCAACAATAGTTAAATTCATTTTTAAAACAGCAGTATTTAAAAAAATAAAAATAAAAATAAAAAAAAATAAAAATAAAATTCTTTTGGTTTTTTTTTATTTTTTTTATTTTTTTTTAAATTTTTTAGATTTTTAAATTTTTTAATTTTTATAAAAAAAATAAAAAAAATCTCATTATAGAACCATCACCACACTATTATCCCAATAAAACAATACAAATAATAAATAAATAGTATTTTCAATATATATAAAATAATAGATCAAATTAAAATAATAATAATGTTTTAAAAAAAAAAAAAAATTAATATATATTTTTTTTATATAAAAATAAAAATGAAATATTTTAAAATAATATTTTTAATTTTTATTTTATTAAGCTTTATAAATATTTCAAAATCTATAAAAAATACAAACAATAATAATGATTTAGAAAAATATAATATAAAAATAAATAGTTATAATAGTGATTCAACAAGTTCAAACGATGGGTCTTATGTACCAACAAACAATTTATTAAGTGTTTCTGCATTTGTTACATTTGTAAGTTTAGTAATAGTTTTAAGTTTAAAATTTATAGTTTCAAATATTAACATTGTTTTTTTATTTATTTTATAAATATATAGAGTGGTGGTAAAGTTTTATGTAATTCATCTTCACTTTGCCCAAAAGGATATGACTATGTGGATCATTATGCATGTTCATATGAAATTTTGCCAGGAATACCAAGAGGTAATTGGGATAAAGGAATAAAATATTTTAGAGATCCATTTGAATTTGGAGAAAATGTCGATATTGAAGCAGTATCATTTACAATTACAGGTACAGTAGGATGTAGTGGTGATAATATTCAAACAGAGTTGGCATTTTTAATTCACGATTATCAAATTGGTGGTAATACAACTAATATCGTTACTGATTGTTCATGTGGTACATGTGTTTTGACCTATAGTATAGACCCACAACGATACAGCGGTTTGGGTTTTAATAGAACTAAAGATCCTAATCACCCAGCTTCAAATAAATTCCAATTACAAGTTTTAAATAATGGTATTTGTGTGTCTGAAATTTTTATTAATTTTTTTTATAGTAAAGCTACACCCTCCCCAACACCAACTGAAACACCTTCAATTAGCCCATCAGTACCACCTACTAATTCTCCAACTGTTACTCCATCAGTTACACCCACCGATACTCCAACAGTCACACCTACTTCAACTCCAAATAATAACAATAAAAATTTATCACCCCAAGAAAAGAAATATATAATAATGGCTTCAGCAATTACTGGTGGTCTTTTAATTATAATATTCACTTTTGTTTTCATTAGAAAGTGTTTAAAGAAAAGAAAGAAAGCAGATTATATTAGAATTAAAGATGGTAAAGATATTGACATTCATCAAATTAAATTAGGTAAACGTATCGGTAAAGGTAATTTTGGTGAAGTTTATCTTGGTACATGGAGAGGCTCAAAAGTTGCCATTAAAAAATTACCAGCCCATAATATCAACGAAAATGTATTGAAAGAGTTCCACAGAGAAATCGAATTAATGAAGTATGTGTTTATAAAATTTTATTTAAAATATTTTAACAAAAAATATTAATGTTTTATTTTTTATTATTTATTATAGGAATTTAAGACACCCAAATGTTATTCAGTTTTTAGGATCATGCACCATATCACCCGATATTTGTATTTGTACTGAATATATGGAAAGAGGATCACTTTATTCGATTTTACATGACCCTTCAATAATTATTTCATGGGAATTAGTTAAAAGAATGATGACAGATGCAGCCAAAGGTATTATTTATTTACATGGTTCAAATCCAGTAATTTTACATCGTGACTTAAAATCTCACAATTTATTGGTTGAAGAAGATTTCAAAGTTAAAGTAGCAGATTTTGGTCTTAGCGCAATCGAACAAAAAGCACACACTATGACAAGTTGTGGTACACCAAGTTGGACAAGTCCAGAAATTTTAAGAGGTCAAAGATACACTGACAAAGCTGATGTTTACAGTTTTGGTATTATTTTATGGGAATGTGCAACTAGACAAGATCCATATGCAGGTATTCCACCATTCCAAGTTATTTTTGCAGTTGGTCGTGAAGGTTTAAGACCACCTATTCCAAAGGTAGGACCACCAAAATATATTCAACTTATAATAGATTGTTTAAATGAAAATCCAAATCACAGACCTTCAATGGAACAAGTTTTAGAAAGATTAGAAGAAATTGATACTGATCCTTCAATTTATCCAGATATTGAAAAAATTATATAAACAGATTTATAAAAAAGAAAAGAAAAAAAGTTGTATTTAGGAATACAATTTGTAAATTTTTTTGTAAATAAAATAAATAAATAAATAAAAATATATAAATAATTTTAAAAAAAACTTAATAATTTTATTCTTGTGTTGACCAAATTCTAATTGTACAATCGGTGGAACTTGTAATAAATTGATTTTTTGTTGGATGGGCATTAACGTGTGTAATAACATTGGTATGACCCGATAATTTATGTAAGAGTTTGGCTGATGATAATTCCCAAATATAAAAATCGTTATCTTCAGAACCACCAATAATTAAAGAGTCGTTATAATTGCTGCAACTGTTTATCTTGTATGTTGAGTTTTTATGTGATTTATATTCTTTTAGTGTGTCATATGTATCTATATCAATAAGTTTAATAGTTTCGTCTGTGCAACTTGCAATGAAGCATTTCTTATTTTTGGTAATTGAAACTGATGATATTGGAACTATAGTAAAATAAAGAAAGTTAGTTTTTGATGGTTATTATTTTAAAAATCTATGGATTTCTAATGTATATTTACTTGTATCGTCATAGGTGGTTAAAGTTCCCATTCTAACATCATATTGTCTAATCGAGCCATCTACACTACTTGTAATTACTTCTTTTTGAATAAATGAATGTTGAGCATTACCATGGGAATGTCCATGACCATGGCTGTGACCATGACCACTTAAATCTACAGTTTGTGTTGTTTCATTTGTTATAATTGAAGTAATTGAATCTTTTGCATCATCTAAAATCTGTACAGGATTAAAAGAGTTGCTTCTTAAATCCCAAGCTTTAACTAGTTTATCATTTGAACCTGTGAATAAGAGTGATGAGTCATTATTTACACATACACAAGTGATTGTATCGTTGTGTGCATTTTGAAATCTTCTAACTACTGAACCATTTGCAATATCCCATTGATAAAGTTGTTTTTCAGCACATGAAAATAATTGTTTGTTATCTAAACTTGAACAAAAATCTATAATACCATAACCATGCTCTTCAAAACTGTGGATCATTGAACCTTTGTTTGGATTCCAAAGTTTTAATGTTTTATCCTGTGAACCACTGATACAATATGCCCCATCACTATTATATTTTACTGCTGTAACTGATCCTTGATGATTACTTAACACTCTATCACATGAAACTGTAGACATTTTATAATTAATATTATTTATTAAAAAAAAAAAGAAAAGACACAAGATAATTTAATAAAAAAAAAATTAAAATTGAAAAAATTAAAAAAATAAAAAATTAAAAAAAAAAAATTAAAAATACTAAATTAAAAAAAATAAAATATATATATAAATCTAAATTAATTATTATGAAAAAGAATAAAAAAATATATCTTGTATCAATGATTTATTTATATATACATATATTTATTGTTTCTATTTATTGGATTCATTAAATTTTTTAATATATTTATTGAAAATTTGTTGTAATGAAACACACATTTTTGATGGATTATTGGATATCCATGTAATAGTTTTATCTATATTTTTAAAAATGGGATTGTTAACATCACCAATAAAATGGGCTGAGAACCAATTTTTTCCTATATGAGTATAATAATTGGGTTCACCAATTTTTTTTAAATCATCTGATTGAAATATAGATAATAATATTTTTTGATCAGTTTGTTCTAATGCAATGTAGTTCCCTAAACTGTGCACTAGGTTATTGTTTAATTTAAAATCAATCCCGACTTCTGAGTGATTTTTTTGTTCCATATGAAATACAATTTGTATTTTACCAAATTTTTTTGATTCTTTGTATTCTTCTAAAATTTTATCAATTTCATCAAAATTCCATTTCTCTGATGAACTTCCATCAATAATTTCTAAATTATTATTTTCAAATTCCATTGAAAAATTATAATTTATAAATAAAATTAAAAGTATAAAAAATATAAATTTCATTTTTTTTTTTTATCAATTTCTTTATAAATTTTATTATTTTATTTTTTACTATTTATAAACTTAAATATATAAATTTTAAATCTTAATAATTTATTTTTTATTTAAAAAAAAAAAAAAATTTTATTTATAAAAAAAAAAATACATAAAAAAAATAATAAAAAAAAAATAAAAAATTAAAATAAAATATATTTTATCCCAACCAATAAAAAAATATAATAATGAAAAAACTATCAAAAAAAAAAGATATTCCAATTATATTTAGAGTAAATTCGATTTTAAAGTTTATTTTAAAAAAACGTTTTCTCTTTTATTTTTTAAAAAGGCAATATTGGAGTGTTTTTAAATTATTATGTATTGTATATTGTTTATTTACTTTTCTATTTTTTTTTTGTTTTTTTATTTTGATTTAAGATTATCTATTTAAATCAATTAACATTGTTTAAACACAAATTTGTATATCTTTTTTTTTTTTTTAAATATAAAAATATTATTTTTTTAAAATAAAACTAACACTCATATATAAAAGGTTTAAAATGTGGTGTTGGATTAAAAAAAAAAAAATAAAAAAAAAAGTTCATTTCTATAAATTAATAAATGAAGTTATTTTTTAAACACACATTGAAAATCTAGAGCACTACTCACTAATTCTAAATAAAGTAAAATCATTTTATATGATATAAAAAGAAAAAACTTTAATTTTTTTTTTATTTTTTTTATAATAAATAATATTTACCCACACACATATAATATAACCCTAAATAAAAATTAAATATCTTTTTTTTAAAATTTTATTATTATTTAAAGTTTATTTATAATTTTATTATTTATTTTGAGTTTAACTCCACCTCTGACATTAATAAAATATGATCTGATGCTAA